GCAGTTGAATGTTACTTATCGCATAATAAAATACGCACTGACGACAATGTGTTCGATTACGCACTAGGCGGTAGTAACATAAGCGCTTAAATTATGACAGTGTGAAGGATTTTTAAGGTCCCTTTTCAATTTATAGTGGTATCTCTCTGTCTTTCGCTGTTGTATCTTTTTTTTTCTGGCGAAACTTCTTTCGCCAGCAGAGCTTAAGCTACGGATTTTTGGTTGGCGACAAACAAATATAATAAAGCACAGAAAAAAAAAGTTTAGAAAAAAAAAACTTCGAACACATCGTAGATTACATAATCTCAGTATTAAACAAGGGAAAATCCATGTCCTATCCTTGTGTTTTTCGTTGTGCGCTTGACAAATCCATCGGAAGTACTCGTCAAGTCAACGCAAACAATTCATCTTGTTTGCCGTGATGTTTGAGAGAGTGGGAGTGAGAGCGAAAAAAAGCTAACATAAGTAAATAATCATCACAACAGCACCGTACCCCACCCACATTACAAAAATGTATACGATATATTTTGAGATTTCTTAAAACGACCCAATTTACGCACTCTCCCCATCGCCCGCAGGCATTTTACTAGCTGACAGTTCAAATCGAATTTTGGTGCTGACAAACAAATCAAAATTATCCAACGAGCAGAAGAAGCGAATCGAAACAAATCAACGCTCTTCTTTTTGTTTGCTCCTGTGGTGGCAAATGATTCGGGTCGAAGAGCAATGAGAGTAGAAGCAGTGGCAGCATGAGCACGAGCAGCAGCTGCAGCCACGTTTGTGGTCAAATGTAGACAAGCCAAGTCATCACCCAGGCCAAAGTGATGGTTGCATTTGCATAATTGTAATTTACGAGAGGAAGCGAGAGAAGGAGCGAGGGAGATATTTGGAAATTCGAGGCACGCTTCGGGCGAAAACCGTTTTTCCAATTTCGAAAATAAAATTGCGATAGCTGCCAATTGTATGGCCGACAAGTGTGACCGAAAGGCGATGACCACAGCCGAACAGTTCATTAAATTGCTTTGCTGAAATCCATATTATCAGCTACTCAATTCAAATAACCTCTGACACATACACTACGACTGCTAACAACCGATCAACGAATCCGTTCGACCAAAAATCTTAATTCACAATTTCGCCGACATGAAGAAAAAAAAAGCGAATACATTTTATTGATTTGCCATATTCAGACGTTTTCCATTTTTTTTTTTTCGTGTCCCTCCAATTGCCTTTATCCGCTCAGTGGAAAACTAAATTTAATCTTTTATCATTCGAAAGAAAAGAGAGAAGTATACGGACTCTTATTTGAGACATGCTGTCATCATAAGAAAAACGGAATGGTTCAATAATTTTTTTCCTGTTTTTTCTTCTGCCCTATTTCAACGTATTTCTGCACCGCCAAACAAAATCATCATTGCGGGAATTCCGAAACCAGATATCATTTTGTCCTCGCTCCTCTTTTTGTTGCTCCGATTTTTTTGTCGTTCATTTTTGGATTATTATTTTCTTTCATGGAAAAAAGTTTACCGCTTCAATTCCATTTGTAAATTGATCTTATTGCTACTCCAGTTGTGTAATACGTTTCAGAGCGCGCATTCAATCGGTTTGCAAACAAAAACTATTACAAGATTTATACAACGCACCAATTTTCCCAATCCGAAGTAAATGTAAAATTATTTGTTATGACCGTAATCGACCAATCAAAACGGTTTATCTTACATTCTTTTTGTGATTCTCCACAGTCATGGGGCAAAAATATAATTCGTACTATCTTTGTTCAATTTCAAATGATAATCGATGAATTTAATGGCGGGAAAATAACATGAATTTTTTGTCAATCGCTTTTTCGTTTCGTTATTTGCATTCGATTTTATTTGGTTTTGTTATCAACGGGAGGCGAAGTGGTGGTGCGAATATCGTCGGATGATTTCTAAGATAAATATTTGGAGATTTTCTTCCATTTCATTTCGGAATAATGCTTTTTAATTAAGTATTAACCACAACACACACACACACACACACACACACACACCAAAAGCTAATAATGTTAATTTATGAAAAAAGGATCATAATACTAATATTCAAATGAAGGCAAATGATCCGGAGTTTGAGCAAACGAAGAGCTTTTTTCTTTCTGCCCTTCTCTCTCTCTCTTCCTCTCTCTCTCTCTCTCTCTCTCTCTCGAGCAAAAAGGTTGAGAATGGAAAGTCAAATGGAGGCTAAGTTGGCATGCCAATTTAATATTAATGTTAATTGGTGCTTCGCATAATTGACGGTAGCAAATAATGAAGAATTCACGAGAATAGAGAAGAAGACAAAGAGAGCTAGAGAGAGAGAGAGAGAGAGAGAGAGAGAGAGAGAAGTGGAAAGAAATGCGCGATAGACCATGAAAATAAAGGCGAACAAATCATGGCAGAGCGAAACAGTACAAAGAACGCAAACAAAGAACAAAGCTAAACCGTGGCTGATGGTCTTATCATCATTGAACCGCAAAACGATAGCATTAAGTGGTGCCTACTCATTGAGCACTCAGCATAACAGCAGCGGCAGCAGCAGCAATGCAAACACACAATCAACTGTAGAGAGCGCGAGGCAGAGGAGCAAAATGAAGAGGAAGAAGAAAAAAAATAACAAAAATTACTAGCTTAAAATAACAAACGAAATGAAACTGTTATTAAAGCCGGATGCTTCTACTTCGTTTGATAAACACATCGAATAAATGTAGAGTAGGTCTTTTTTAATTGCAGTATAGTACTTCAAACATCACTCGACTCGTTTCGGAGGAAAAATGAGCGCTTTTTGTTACTTGTCTCTTTGCACGTAGAAAAAAAAAGCGAGAGATACAGAGACAGTGACTAAAGTTGGGAGAAAAAAATTATATGCATGACAGTATCAACAATCGCAACGCGCACAGAATAGAGAAACATTTTCTCTTTTTTTCCTGCAATGCGAACGCATTTAAATGTGAGGGTCGCATGGATTGAAGCCGGAAATCAAAGAGATAAAAGAATGACGCTGAGTTCAAGCTTGAGTACGAGAGTGAGAGCCAATAAAAGTCGACGAGAAAAATGCAAAAGCACAAAACCGGATGAGACAGACCCCGGTATTATCCTGGTACTGATGGTAAGTGACATTCGTTTATGAAAAAATACCGCACATTTTTCAAACTTAATTCAAATCAGTTGTGAACTGTGGGATGTGACGCATTTCTATCCGAGGAACTTTTTCTGTTGTTGTTGTTGTTGTTGCTATGAGAGCAAATGAAAAAAAATCCATGTAAAAAATGCATTACAGCGGAATTTAATTTAATGCATTCGTTGCATACGCATTTTCGCACGGTGCATAAATTTGAATAGTTTTTCCGTATTCGAACAAAAAAATGCCATTTGTGTGTGTGCAGTGCAATCGATTTTTTCCCCCAAAATACTTCACACCGTTATATGCGGGAATTGCTAACGAAATATAATTTCTGTAAAAATTGAAATACATAAAAACTGGTTCATTAAAATGGCTTAACTTACTTGGTATTATATATGGTGCGCACATATTTTCATTCATAAAAGCCGCGGATTGTGTATTCATTATTGCCAGACAAGTTCGCTTTTTGAAGTCCATTTGTTTTAACGAATTGCCATTACACGAATTGTTCGTCACAGTTATTATGGCATGCGGCCGCGGCGATGTGTATTCGAGGTGAATACTCTGATTCGTGTTGTTTGTGGCTCTTTTCTAAATTGTCACAAAGCAAATTACACTCGGCCTGAATGATTGTAGCTACATGAGCGTGTGCGTGTTTTTCTGTTCAACTATGTCTCTTGAAAAACCGCCAGCGGAAATACCAGATGCATATATAATTACATTGACAAGTTGTAGTCTGGAGTATTTTTTCTATTCTCACTCAGTTCGCCAACGACCGAAATGGAATCCACAATGGACGTATTGACGGGTTTTTTTCTCAAATGAAGCACGAACTGGAATCGAAATGGCACAATTCGGTTTATTTAATCGAACAAAACGAACGATTGGATGACAAAAAGCAAACCGTAACCCACCCAACCGCTAAAGCAAATACTAATTCCGTTCCGATTTGATTCAAATGGGAAAAAGTGAACGCGTGTAAAGCACAGAAAAAAAAAACTGTCCACATAAAGTTGCTTTACAACGGAAATAAAGTGGTGGTGGAATGCGAGTTTTTTTTTATCTTCACCGAAGCTTTATTTGAGTTTATTTTCTCTGTTTTTCTTTTTCGTTGGTGTCACTACAACGAGTCACAACCAAAATGTACATATACACGTCAATATTGTCGTCGAATTCACCCGAGAGAAAAATTGATTCGAGAAAGAAAACTTTCGGACGGTGTAGCCGGAAGCCGAGAACCAATTGAAACAATGGCAGTTTAGTTTTTACACGAGCGTTTGTTTTTTTTTCTCTCTCCTCTTATTTCGCACACTGAAGATGAAAGGGTAAAAAAAAAACTTAGCAACGAAACATAAGTCACGAAGCAAAAAGTTGCTTGAGCTTTGTGCGTTATTTGTCGTCAATCTTGTCGTCTTATGTTTCGGGAAATTCCGTTTGATAATTCGAGTGTGTGTGTGTGGCTTTCTATGGTTTTATTTTTCTCTATCGCAAAAGATGTTGAAGTTTTTTCATCGCATTTGTTCGTTGAACCACAGAAGCCAATAAAATAAAACGTCGAAATGTTCCTTAGAGTGGAGCGATTTTGGCAGTTTTTCGAATATCGATGCGTACACTTGGGAAAAGTTGCGCCATCAAGTCCTGATTCCAATACGAATCAGAAAAATGTACTTTCATAGTCATATAGTTTATCGTCTAAAATGTTGGTGATGACCATTTTTTCGAAAGAATCGAATTTTTCTACTTTTTGCAATTGAAAAAAAGGTAAGTTTTAATCAAATTTCAACATTTTAGCCATCAAATAGATTCGTTATCTCAGTTTATACAATAATTACCCATCTTCACCACACTTCGCTGTGGTGGACCATCATTTTATACTTAGTTCGTGCGGAACAAAAAAGGTGAAAAAACACTGGAAATTCGAGTGCATCGATTTCTTGTGAGGCAGTAAATGATGGGGGAGGCCCATGTGGCTTTGATAGATCTCATCAAGAGAAACAACTTTTGTCCGGTACTTTGGTCCGATCACCCCTTTCTGGACGTGGCACAACATCGGAGTTTTGATATTTTCCATGTAATTTTATAAAATCGAAAAAACAAATTGTGGAAGTGCGATCGTTGTGAAACTTTCAGAATCTTATTTTTCGACCGAAAAATACATTCTCAGAAAGTTTGTGGCCATTAGGAATCAATTAAGGATAAAAATTGGGTGTTTTAAGGATACCTCCCATACAAATCATTCTATCATGTTTTTAGAACGACAACATCTTTACGGGATGTATCTTTAAAACACTAATTCCTATCCCAATAAACTCCTAATGACCTCGAACTTTCTGAGAATGCGTTATTCGGTCAAATAATAAGATTCTGAAAGTTTCACGACGATCACACGATTGCACAAAAAAAATTCGATTTTTTAAAATTACATGGAAAATCTCAGAACGCCGATGTTGCGCTACGTCCAAGAAGGGGGGATCGGACCAAAGTATCAGGACAAAAGTTGTTTCTCTTTATGGGATCTATCAAAGCCACATAGGCTTCCCCCATCATTTACTCTAAATTCCAGTGTTTTTTCACCTCTTTTGTTCCGCACGAACTAAGTATAAAATGATGGTCTACCACAGCGAAGTGTGGTGAAGATGAGTAATTATTGTATAAACTGAGATAACGAATCTATTTGATGGCTAAAATGTTGATATTTGATTAAAATTTACCTTTTTTTTCAATTGCAAAAAGTAGAAAAATTCGATTTTTTTCGAAAAAATGGTCATCACTAACATTTTAGACGATAAACTATATGACTATGAAAGTAAATTTTTCTGATTCGTATTGGAATCAGGACTTGATGGCGCAACTTTTCCCAAGTGTACGCATCGAAATTCGAAAAACTGCCAAAATCGCTCCACTCTAATGTTCCTGTTTGTTTTATCTCGAATTTATTTTAATGTTTCGTTCGATCAGCAGTATAAACAATGGTTTTTTGAGTGTGGCACGATGTTAAGTTTCAACAAAAACTCGCTTGCCATTCTAAGTAGTTCATTGTTATGGTTGGGTCTGCCAACGGATGTACAAACGGATTTCCAGTATCGCGCACACAACGAGAAGAACAAAAAAAAACAATAGTGACTCTTTATTTGCAGCAATTTAAGTTCGTTACTTTTTTACTTGCTTCGTCGCTTTTCATTTTCGCAGTTGTTGTTGTCTCACTGATTCAGCTTCTGTTGCAACTGCTGTGCATAATATTCACTCTCTCTGCGTCCTTTTTTGTTGTTTGTCGTTGCATTTGATGCTGTTAACAGCAAAGAAAGAGAAAAAAAAACAACTATTCGTTCGTTATATTTATCCGAAACACTTTCAATTCATTGCAATGCATTCAGAATGGAATCTCGTTACACACGCACTTTTTTTTATTATTATTATTCGGTTGGGTGTTGTGTACTGCAAGCGAAAGTGCCACTTAAATATAGCACAAAGCCATGCTTTTAAAGTTTTATTTTCATGTTTTTCACGTTTTTTTTTCCTCCTTTCTCATTTCTTCATTTTCTTCATTTTCGCCGCCGTTCGCTTGGCCGTTTGTTTCGTTCGAATTTTTTTTTCTCTTCTCTTACTCAAGCAATGCTAATGCCTGTTTCTTAACTTTTTCTCTTAGATGCGTTTCCTTTACTCCTTTCAATTTTCCCTATTTTATTCTTTATTCTTTCTTCTGTTCGTTCGTTTCTCTTTTTTTGCTATTGTGTTCCACTGTGCGCACACGTTTAGTTCATTCTCGCAGTGTTTCGCAGTTGTTGAGAAAGGGACGGAAGAGGGAAACGTGTACTGTGACAAATGTTTAAAGTGTGAGAACTGAAAATTGTTAATAAACAGCAGAGGGATAGAAAAAAAAGGAAAAAGTTTCTGTGTAGCACAAAAAGATGCCCGGAACACTTGGAATTCTTCCTTTCATTTACGACACACACATATATACACGCGCGAAAGAAAAAAACTTATACTTTTGAGTATCAGTTGGCGCATTCGTTTGGTGTTTTTTTTTAAATCTCGAATTCCTTCACTTTGTCAGCGTTCTCTCTTTCAACTATTCATTCACAAGCTGCTTTCATTTAGCTTTTTGCTGCTGTTGTTGTTATTTTGGTCTCATTCAAGTTGCACAGAAAATTCGCCACAAACAGTTTTTCCGATTTTGATAAATGGCCTATATTTATTACCGAATTTATTTCAAACACTCGAAAAAAAAAAAAAAAATAACTAAAAAGCATCGATCAATACCAAACTTCTGTTCGTTTCTCTTTTTTTTGTCCCAGTGCACCGGTTGTGTTGGCTGTAATGTTTTATGTGATACTTTGTTTGTTTTTCATTAAACGACGGAAAAAACGCTTCATTTCCTCTTTGGATTTGTTAATTTTTTCTCTTTCTGTGGCTTCGCTTTTTTTTCGGCCGCACTCACTCTCTGAGTCTCAGCAAATGTTCTGAATCGAAAATCATTCATCACTTTTCCGCCACTGACTATGTGTCCCTTGCATCCAGAACCAATTTAGTTCATGCCAATAAATTAAATATTACAAACTTGAGTCTCGATACCATGCACAAATCAGCCACACGGTTTTGTTGCTGTTGTCGTCCAGTTTTTCTCAGTTCATTGTGCAGTTGCCAAAATTTTGTTGTTGTTTCGAAATCATTTATTTTGCCCTTTTGTTTGATGGTTTACTTTCACTCAATTTATATTGAAAAATGCCTTGATGAGAGGCAAAAAGGAATTCGGGCAAATTTGTTTCTTTTCAATTTAACTCATTGAGCCGTTAATAATGATAATTATTTTCTGGTGGAATTTTTTTCGCGAGAAATCTTTTTCGCTGCTACTTTTTGCAGCCTCGGTCAATTTACCGGAAATATACACACACTATTTTTTTCTTCGTTCATAATAATCACTTTGTGCTCGATTTTTTAAATCGAATTTTATGCATACACACACAAGCCCTTTTTTCCGTTTGATGAATTTTAATGAGTTTATTTTTAAAAAAAAAATTGCCTCTTCACGAGAATTTTTTTTTCCATTTACATTTTCGCGATGATAAATTCAAGTGGGCTCTTTGATTTCATCGAGAACTTTCACGGTAGTATCAATGCCGTGATGTTGTTTGTGCATTCGAGATGCTTTTCCACATGAAAATGAGAAAATCAATGTGTTCTACTTCACTTGAATGGAAGGAATGCAAAATACGCGCTATGCATGATACCGACAGCGGTTCGCCAACAACTGAACAAAATCTGGAAAATGTGTTTCAACTTATACTTCACATAAATTTCATTTTTTGGCAACCGAATTCGGGGTGCATGAGGCATCGAGAATGAAGATAATGTTCAGCATATAGTGACCGTATCCACAATCGAAGGCTTCACAGTTGAACGTCAACATTTTACGATGCATCCATCCATCTACTTATACGGCCACAAGCTTGAACAGGGGAAATGAACAAACAGTTCATTCACGCAGCGAGTTCATCTGCCCCTCACATGGTTTGCTGAATTCACTTCAACGACATATCTCACAGACGTATTGGGGTAGGCTCTGTAATACAGAGTCTGTACTGTGTGCTTTTATTCATGTTACATTGTGACATCGACATTGACTCCAGCGAGTCCTCGTTGAACGTCTTTTGCGGCTTTCTTTCGCATTTACATTCACATAGCGTTTGGTGTTTGGTCTTTCCAAGAATTGAATCCATCTGAGAATCTCAGACCGTGCTATTTGTTTATATCTTATTCGCATCATTATAAGCATTTTTCCTATTAATATCTCACTCTGATTTGAATTTTGTTAGACTGTGTCAACCAGACGAAGTATAAACAGTTGCACAGCGTCATCTGCTCCTTGTTTTTGTAGAACACAGGATTTTTTCTACGAAAAATTGTTCAAATATCCAAAGTTTTTAGGAAAAAATAAAGCAAAAACTGGGATGAAAGATGCCGCTGGCATCGTATACGGAAAACTTTTTTGGCATGCCAAATATGCGCAGCGGCTGGCTTTTGTGGTTGCTTTGATACACACTTTTGCAAAATGTTGTCAATGATTTCTCATAGATTTCGATCAACGCACACTTGCCCAGATTTTTGTGGAAGCATTACGTTATAGACGCAGTGCGACGTTATCAACATCATTTTGCCAGAGATAGTTTTATGCAGAACATCAAACGCCATACTATTAAATTACATGTTCCGTTAAGTATCACGACAGAGAGATGAATGATGGAAAAAGCGCCATTATAATCACTTTAAACATCAGCATCCTTTATTTAATTCGGTACGTAAAGTGTGTGCTCATGACTTTGTCTATGTACCGCAATCGGAATACAAAGTCACACTGTGTGTATGTGTGTTATCACTATCGAGGGCACAAAAGTAAATGCCTTTTGTCCAACAACCAGGAAAATAATTACGAAATTCGGTCGACTTCCTCTGCGCCACCAAAACATAGAAACTTCATTTACATGGAAAAGCCATTGTGTGCTATGCCGTAATTACGGCCACATTAAAAACTCGTTTTCATTGTGAAGTATTTGTGAGTTCAAACGAATTTCACAGAGAGTGTACCTACGATGTGTGATTTGATCAGAGCAGGCAGTGATTCGTTCATTTTTGCTTATTAATTTGAGCTCGAAATTAATTTTTCAACAGATCCTTGATATGCAATGCCCTCGTGACTATAACCACTGGTTCTGGGTTGTCCTTTTATAACAACCCGCAAAATTATAACATTTTGCCAATTAGTATTTTAGAGTCATCGCAAACTTTTCAAAGTGAATCAATTTCTAGTTCATTGCATTCGACTCAACACAGAGAATATTTCAATAATGTTAAAATGCACAGCGCTCTGATCTCGTTGACATGGTACATCGAAAATTTCTATAAATTTGACCTTTCCATTCCATTTACTGACAACAGTTGAAATGGTACAAAGTGTTCCTTCGTATCGACGAATCCATGGGATTAACAATACAACGTTTCAACATGTGAATCAAATGTAATCTGTCTGTTAGTTGTCAGTTAGTTGTAAATGTGCTTTACAATAAATTTTAGTCACAATATTCGCTGCATATATCGACGGGAAGTATCATTATAAATGTGTCAAAATCCTGAACATTCTCTGTCTATTCATGGAATGCGGTTTACAACAATGTTGCAATGAAATATAAAAAAAATGTGTCGATAAAAGAAACATTCGAATCATCAACGGTACAAATCATTGAAAAATTATATCTTCTGATTTAATTAAATACAATGGATTAAGAGAATGTGAGAGTATCACATTCTGACACATGACGCATTTTGTCTTGGACAGACTTCACAGTAACTCATTTCTAATTTAAAATTCATTATGGATTCCACGAATACCTTTGAGATGGTAAATGAATGTCATTATGATAGCATGTAATTTGCATGTGTTTGCAAATCCTGTTTGAAATATCAGAAATGCTCTTTTCAGATAATATCCATGGTTAGTCGCCATGCATGTGACTTATTTTACGTGACTCAATTTGCTCGGATTGATTTTGACAATTCCATCAAATGCTACAACAACAATAGTTCACATTTCATGCAAATTTCAACAGATGAATTGTTCAATTGAAATGGATGCGATACAGTATGCTCTTTGAATTGAACGTGATGTTCATTTGGTTGTTTCGAATCATGGTGGAAAAAATGCAATCGGAATTCGATAATGTTGTCAGGTAAAAGAGTAGTAAATTAAAATTGGGTTAGTAGTCTATAGACGTTTTAACATCGATGTTTCAATTACGATAGATATTCGATAGTTACAGATTGGAACTTGCACCATATCGAGTTGCATTGAATTCACTAAATTTCGAGGAATTGAATAGAATCTAGAAACAATTGGGCATTTGATCAACTGGAAATGTGGTCATGTTGCATCGATTCACTTATGTGATTAAAGGCTCCAAACCAACCACTGTGAGCACCATTCTGGAATGTTATTCAGATATTAGTTAACATGAATATATCTGACCGCACCGTAACCACTCAAAAGATTTTCTAGTCGATTAATCACCACGTATATTATGTGGTACGTAATGCATTCGACTAATTGATCAAAGCAATTTCATTGGTGTTATTTCTGAATAATTAACATTTCGAGTGGATTTAGGTATTTCGATCGAAATATATATTTCACACAGTATTTAATTGATTTTGACGCATATTTGATCCACGTTAAACCATTATAAAATAGTTTGCATTTTCCAATTGATCGATACTCTCGTCTGCTCCAGGGTTTTTTTTTCATCGACAGTAAATCCAACTTTTTGAATAAAAAAATTAAGCCATATAAAGGAGTTCTTTTTAAAGTATTCACTTGTTAACTTTTGAGAAAAGTTTTCGAATCCTTTGTTCATTGTCCCATAAACGGAGCTCAATTGAGCCGCAGGCTTATGCAAAAAAAAAAAGTCTGAATATTAACTACTCAAGTAACGTTCAATAACCGACTCTTCAACAACCCACATTCTTTAGCAAGTAGAAAACTTTTCTTTTAAAGATTGATTTTTAGAGTCGATTATTAATGCGAGACCTACGAAAAGAAATGGTCGACAAAAATGATTCTTAAGGCGACTGATCTAATTGTAAAAACATTGTTCACACTCCATTGTTGGCATGTGAAATGAGTAATTCGATTACATGGACTTTTTGCCTGATTTCGTCTCACACCGAAAACACATTTGGCACACGTCCAAAGGGATTTCAAGCAGATGAAATCATGCGTGTTTATTTGCCTTTATTTGTGCTGAATTCTCGTTTCTTCTTCTTCTTTTGACTTCTTGACGATTCGATCGGGTTTCGCATTTGTCAGACTCAATTCTCCAGAGCCACGGTTACCACGAAACGTGTTGTATGTCGAAATTCCGAACAGCGTAATAAAATCGAAATGTGTGTGATTCCGAATCGAGATTGATCCGAGGCACCGGGAAAAGTGTTCATACTTGAGAAAAAAAAGCAAATATCCATCGTTGTTTGTGTATGCGAAAACGCATGAAAGGACGAGGAAAAATAGAAAATTAAATCTCACCGTAGTTGATCCATCGAGGGGGAGCAAAGCTGTCGAAAAGATTTCCTATCTGCAAAAAATATTAATGCTACGTTTATTGATGAGTTCTCGATGAACGAAAAATCATTGAACTATGTAACTTCGAACTCAAATCACTACAGCAAAACTACTCACTCAGAAGTACTTTTACAACATGCACGACTTGTATTGGTAATTTGACAGATCACCACTATTACTATTGGTGAGCATAGTGATTTTATATGTATTGTATCGGCTCTGCTGTGCGATATTACAACGAATACTACTTAGTAAACTATGTCACAAAGTCTATGTCACAGCAGAGCCGATACAATACATATAAAATGACTATGCTCACCAATATCTGTGATCTGTCAAATTACCAATACCAGTTTTGCATGTTGTAAAAGTACTACTGTGTGAGTAGAGTTACCAAGTTCTTAAGCCTACAAATAGGCGAAGAGATAAGTTTTAAAGACGTAATTTTGCGATGAAAACTCGAAAACTTTTCAACAATTATGTTTTCCCAGCTAAAAGTTGAATAATGTGAGTTGTATGCAGAGCAGAAAATACTTAACGGCAATAAAACTCAATAAATAATTCTTAATAGAAAATCCTTCTTCATCAAATTTATTGACGATGTATTCAATCATCACAGACACACCGCTGATTCTTAGCTTAGTTCACCAAAATTTTACCTGTTTCTAAACAGTTCAAACCGTGAAACTTGCCCGAAAATAAAGTTTTCCGTTCTTTTTTTCTTCTATAATATTCGTTTAATCTTCCATTGAGGAACGAACCCGTTGACAGATTCCGTGTCATTCCCGGAGTTGAAATATTGGACTAGCCCCTTGCGACATCGTGAACAGTTAGGCAAATATAATTTTCTATGTATTATGTAAGCAAATTATGCCATTCATGGCAAATACGGCGCATTGATTGCGTTGATGTTTATTTGTTATATTTGCAGTGATGCGAGTAGAGGTATCTGCTGCTTGGTTGCTAAATAAGCGCTTTTTTCGCTCTTTTTCTAGCTTCGTTTTGTTGTTGTTCGTCTTTCCCATAGTGAATGGGAAATGGTAAATTCTCAATTCTCTTGTCATAACACCAGCAATTCACACAGTGGATCGAATTCATAGTTGTTTTTTCATGGCATTTTCATACGTAA